GGGGAGGGGGGAACGCTCTAAATAAATCAGTTATAGGCGAAATAATTTTCCTTTATCCATATAGATATAACCCTAAATATCCGTATGTATACGGTACAGGGTAGATAAAATTTATATATATATATATATTTGTAACAACTGATCGATGCTGCGTTAATCGATATTTCCTCTCCTATATTTTCATATATATTGATCCCCTACAGGAATGTACATAGTCCTCTTGATGGGTTTGTCTTATCTGATATACAATGTTTGTCTATTTTGTCAATGGTTTGTAAATTTCCAAAGTCACTACGTGACTCAAACCAACTGACTCGGGCTTCGCTAAACATTACGTTTCCACCATAATTGTATTTTCTTTAACATTGCATTCCTTTTCGTCTGTTTTTAGCTAGTTTATCTTATGGTTCGACGCCTTTAGCTTTTAGAAATTGACACATTTTCCCTTTTTTCTTCCCTCCTTCTGCCCCTTTTTCTTTGCCTTCTTCTGCCTCTTTTTCCTTTGCTTTATTATCGTTTCCGATTTGCTTGATTTGTCTTGCTTTATGCTCTTTTTGCGTTTTATGTTTTAGGTTAGCAAGCAATGTTAAAGATTAAAGATTATCGCATTATATTATGAATAATGTATATTTTTTTCTTTTATTTTACTATCTGTTTGTGTTTTCGAAGGGAAGAGGGTTCAATAGAATGATTGAAAGGAAGAAAGCCATATACATATGTATATACATTATATAGGGGAGGGAAAAGAAAATTAGTTTGGTCCGAAAGGAGGTTCCGATCGGGGCTAATAAATATAAAAAAGAAGAGAGGGAATAGATAGATAGATAAAGGAAGCGGAACTTGATCATATTGCCTCTTTTGTTACATTTCATCCAAGTTATATATCTTTTAATAGAATAATCTTAAATGCTTAGCTTTAGAGTAAATTTTTCTTTTCCCCAGTTAAGAAGAAATTGGATAAAAAGATAATTAAAAAAGAGAGAGAAATGATTAAAGAAGAAAAAGGTAATTTTCTTATAGAAATATCATGCACATGAGGTTAATTTCATTTCCTCATTTTAATGGATTTCAAAGTATAGAGCGTGATCTTAAAAAAACTTTCAAAGCTGACTTGCATTTTATTAAAAATACAAGCAACGACTCGCTAAATCACGTTTCTTTGTTTGTCAAGGTGATGTTCGTAGAAACTGTCGATTTATCCATATCGCATTTCCCTTCATATATTTGCTCATAAATATTTGATTTATATCTACTCAACCTAAAATCGTCCCAATTTAAATGTAATTTCTAACGATTTTCCGAAACCGGAAGTTTCTTGGTTTCTGTTCATACATGTATATATTTATACAAGACTAAAATACACACATTCTAATACAGTTTAATGTACTCAATAAAGCTTTCTATTGCCTTTTCTTATATCTTTAATTTATTCTTACTATAATTTAACTAGTTTAATTTATTTCCCTTTACTTTCTGTAATAATAAAACTAATAGCAAAATCTAGCCTTTCTCTTTTAATCTTGTTTAGTGTCACGAAGTAAAATAGCATACTTGTCAGTCTAATAGGAAAGAGAAAAGAAACCTTTTGTATACATCTATTGGGTTACTGGTTTGTCACCACACCTTTACTTTCGAAAAGTTTGTTCTATGTGTAAAAATAAGCCTTTTACTACCACTCCTCTTCTTCTCTTTCCGCTACTACTGTATATAGCCTACTACTCTTTCTATCATACAGCGTACGACATTCCTCTTTCAAACGTCTAATAAACTTTATTAGCGAGCCAATGAAATTGTTCTTACGAATTATACGGAGGCGTCTAATATCAGAGTAATATATAAGGAAAAAGAGTACATTCTTTCGTAAATAGCTAAGCGAGAGCGGGGGGGAAACTAAACGAATTTTCCATCTCAATTACTCTGCCTATCCACATTTTCACTACCCAACTTGCCAACAAGAGAGTTATTCCTCTCCTTTCTCTCAAGAACAGATCGGAGAGGAAGCTATTGGATTCCGTTGCCCTCTAGCCTACTTCTCTTCCATAAAAGAATTTTCGTTAATTTTTCTCTCTTAAAGTGTAATTAAGAGAGAATTTGAATAAGGGAAGAAGAGCGAAAGAAGGGGTATTCGTTTAATTGTTCACTATCTATTTATAGTTGGAAGAATGTTGTCCCGAAGCATGTCTAGCAAACAGTGAAAAAGAAGATTGTAAATGGTCTACTACCGTGTCAACAAAAACTACGGATAGAGTAGGAACAATCGAGCTCTCTATTTAAATTTGATAGGTGTTGAAACTAGACTTTTCAAATGCATAAAAATTCAATTTCCTTAATATGTATAAATATATAGGAAGAACTAAATTTGTTCAATAAATTGAATATATATAAATATGTACGTAGAACGTAGTTGAACAGGACACACATCATATACTATTAATTGTAACGCATAGTAGAATGGTTGTACGAGTATCATGGCATCTTAAACTTGTTACTCTTCTGCCTCTTCTACCTATTCTGTCCTGGTTTCTTGTCTATATATGCTCTACCTATTCTAATTGGCCAGCCATTAGGCCTCTTAAATGCTCAATTATTATTTAATTCTAGTCTATATTTTTCATAATAAAACGTGATTTAATGCTTTTACTAGAAAATAGGCATTAGTCTACTGCCTTCTACGTGACTGCCTTTATTCGTAGCCGTCACTTAACAGGCTCATTACATTCGATAAGAGTCACTCTAACGTTGGCAAACTGGGTTTGCCTTATTCTCGAACGTTAATCAATCACCATGCGGCGTCCAAACGTTAATTAGGCGTCTAAAGTGGACGGCCATTACAAAAGTATAGAAATTTCTTTTCTTTTCAATTTTTTTCTTCTGGAGCAGTAGCCTAAGGACCTATTACGTAACATTTGACGTCGGCGATATTACTTTAGTCATTTTAGACTTAACCCTTAAGGGCGGTTTATTGTGTAGAAAACGGTCGAAACCTTTTGATCCTTGCCGTTGTTAACGATTTGCACGATTTTGTCAATGCTATGGTCAATATATCGAATTTGTTGTTAGTATACGATCACGTGATCTTTCCTTTACTACTCTTTTTGTTTGGAGATGAGCTCGACAAGGATAAATATGAATTTATACGAAAAAATATATGAATAATGTGTGCATGTATGTGTGAATATTCATTCAGGCAAGGGAGAGGAGGACAAATAGAGAGAGAGAGAGAGAGCGAGTAAAAGTATCTTTATATTTATTAGAAATAAATTTATTGGGCCTATTAATCAACTAGTTAATTTAATATTTGTAAAGAGAGACGGGATAAAATATCATCTTATAATTTAATAACCGAATATTTGTACTACAGGCAGGAAGTAAAGAAATATTCTATATAACATATAAATGACTTGGTATAATGTAAAAGTATCCATAGAGTTGACATTTTTGCCATTGCTGGCTTTTGTAGAGGAGGAAACACGAAAAATAATAGCTCGAACAGAAAAGAGACAAATATGCAAATCAAGTAGAAGAGAACTTCTAATCTATAAATAAGTATTAAAGCGTGCGTTACTTATACTCAACTCGTACTTAAAGTCTTCCAATCAGTGATAATCATTTGCAGCTTAACAAAAGTAGGGGAACAGTACAAAAGAAAATACCGAGAAAAAAAGATTCTCTTAATCTCTTTTTCTAAAACATTTCTACACTACGTACAGTTGGCGAACGAGGAGAGTAAGAGTGAGATAGAGAGAGGTGAAAAGGGGCGATGGTCGCCTAGACAGGCAGACATACTGTAAATGCTTATAGTGTTTAGTATAAATTATACTTATTATTTTATAAAGAATAATATCTGTACAAAGACTAGAAAGACCAAGGAAAAAAGAGGAAGAAAGAAAAGTGTAGGAGGAATAAAATTGAGAGAATAATAAGAGATTATTACAGTAAATCTAATCATTATTAATATTTAATGCAGATTTCTATTTACAGAAAAACTATATGTTTTAATATAATGATATCAAATGATTAATAGGATATTTTTTTTTCTGCTGTTTAGTGTCAGTTTTCTTTTTATGCTATTTTAAGGTTATATTCGATCACGTGACTAAGAAATCCCTTATTTAGAGTTTAGTAGAAGTGGATGTGTGGGAAAAATGCGTGATGGAATCGTTTATAAACCTACGAAATATTTAATGCTAAATTGATAATAAATTAATAAATAAGGAATTTTTTTCTATTTTTGTTTTTTTAAAGAAACAAAATAATAAAGATGAAAATGAGATTAAAAATTCTAATTGGATAATAAATCATTGAAATATTTATGGCGGAAATAAAAGCAAATTTATAATAGACAAATATAAACAGGAAAAGAAATGCGTTTTGAACAAATGAACATGTTCATTAAGACTTTCTTTTTACAGGCGTTTCTTTTATAATTTTCCATATAGATTCCTAGCGGAAACTTATTATTAGACGCCTATAGTAAAACTTTCAATGTATTTTTTAAGGCTTTCTTATAAAAAAATACTAGCAACTCCCGCTTCCAAGTGCCGAACGTTTACTCGTAGGAATTCGATTACAAGGAATTATAAATCTCTTTAATTGCATTTATTGCACGCAATTGACGTATTAGTTACGTGTAGTAAGAGATATATATGCTCATTTCCTAAGAGGGTCCATTTAGTACGGGTTACATGCACCGTTATTTGGGTAAGCGTACCGTAAAATCACCTAATTGGAAAAAATTTAATAAGCTATTTATAAATGAAGTTACGTGAGGAGGATCCTTTTTAAAAGTTCCTTTTATAGCCCAAGTGAGGGTAGGATAAAAAAAGTTGACAACTTTGAATACTCTTCAACCCCACTTTTTATATAAAAAGGAAAGGAAAACTTAACACGAAAGCAATTCCAAGTTAGTTTGGTTATTTGCCTGTTCTTTCTTATTGTTCTACCGTTTCGCCATATAGAAAATGAATGGTGCGAGTACGTCTTAATAAAAATCGGCTTACCTTTTTTGTACCTAGATATGCCACTTTGCACCTTAAAATTGCTCTATCACCCGGCGACACCGTCACGTTCGGATCCATATTCATAAATTCCGTAAATTTCCGTCGGGAATATCGTTCACCTGTCAAGTACTAAAGATTAGTCATTAAACCTAGCAAAAATATTTAATTGTAACGACAAGACTAAGGCGATCCCTTTTCCCTTTACTGTATTCTTCCTTTTGTCTTTTACATTCCCTTCGTCTTTATTAATTTTCCCTTTTTAGTTTTTGTTGTTTTCTCACCTGCTCATTAGAGAAGTGATAAAACTCTAATTGACTGGGAAAATCAATTGGTTTCTCACTAGTTTTTTATGGAAAAAATTGGAAATCTTTAACCGGACTGAGGGATACAATTGATTCGCCTTTTGAAGCGTTTTGTCCCGCTTTTGTGAACAGTTAAGGCTAGATTACTTTAATTGATTTGTTGCATAGACATATTTTAGCGTCTATATGATAATGGAGGAATAGGAAATGCCGAGATTCGTATATGCAAATGAAGATGCTTAATGTCCCATGCGTTTTCACAATACCGGTCAGTCTTAATGTATCATTTGCACCTTTACAGCTATATTATTGGCTATAATACGACAGATGGTCGATCGCTTAAAGTCAAGTAAGACTATTACAAGTGGAGTGGCTGCCGAAGAAAGGAAATTCCAAGGCGTTTCTGTTAACATATATATGTTTTTATAAAGGAACATATAGAGTGTATCTATAGAGAGCGTTATAAAATATTGAAGTAAGAACAGCAAAGGTAAAAAGAGCAGTTTACAGACCTTTTCAAATATGTATACAAGTATAAATACACTATATACGGCTATATAGTCTACAACACTTGTGCATCACTACAGAGAGAACACATGCCATACACTTGTATTTATCGGTTTGCTTAGACAAAAACACCTTGCTTTGGCGCATTTATATCGAATGAATTTATATGGCAAGCGGATATATTTGTCCATACATCTTAACTGTCTTTCTAGGAAAATGAATATTCATTTGTTCCATCAGTAAATAAATATAATATATATTGTATTGGTTGTATGTATATAATTTTCTTTACCGTTGACTGGCTATTCATATCATTACTACTATACAAACGAAAAAAGTGAAGAACTTTACCGAGTGCAATTTACTTTGTCCTAGGGATGTTTAGAGTACGGAAACCGTGATTGCTGTATAAACTAATGAAAAGTCCATTAAGAAATGTGAGAAAATTATAAGGATGATTCTTTTGTATTCCTTCTTTCCCTTTTTTTTTCCTTGTTTTTTCTTCTCTCTTCTTTTCTTTCTATTCTTCTCCGTTTTTATATTTTAGTTTTATTAATTTCTATTATTCTAAACTTAATGATCCTCTCAAAAACTTTTTTCTCTTCTTCCTCCTTCTCCTCTTCATCATCATCCTCATCTTCGGATTCCCACCCCCGCCTCCTTCACACAGCCGTATGTAATTTTTACGTATAGCAACGTATGGTATGCAATTTCAATGAATATTGCCAGAAAACATGGCGAAAGGGAATGTCTACTACTTCGACTGATAGAAAGACGAGCTATATGAGTGCAAGAATGATTAAAATGGAATGCTGTACATTGTTGATTGTACCCCGCCACACTTGATAGAAGAAATGTGTCAACAGAAACAAAACTAAGGGTTATTAATTCGAATTTCACAGCGCATGGAAGAAGCATCTGTGATAGTATTGTTATAAAATGCAAATAAGACCCAGTGTCACCTCCTTTCCACACCCGAATGGCAAATTTGAAACAAACATAATATGTAAATATCTCTGGCATCCAATTACGTCTTAAAGTATATAAACTGCAGTATTCGCAAACATGAATTATTGATTACGCAATCTGATAAGTGCTCGTATTGATCAGGGCGCTTTACTGCAATGACCAACTGGAAAAGAAATTTCTTCCATAAGAAAAACAGGGCCTTTGGCGTAAACAAACAATAAAGCCTTGCATTTCGAAGCTTTTCGCTTGTTTACACGGCGATAATCAGTCGATTATCAGATGACTTTTAACCTTTTCTTCCATGTAAAAAATTCGATTTTCAAGAGTCTTTTTAGCGAATCAGACGCAAAAATAGATCTGCAGGAGAGGAAAATCCGATGCGGAAGTGACGCTTCGACGAACGTGACGCCGCTTACCGAGCTTCTAGGGTGTTATGTTTGAACAGGGATTTTTTCATATAGAACAGATTCACGTAGAAATAACATTTACAGTTCGATAAGGCGTTTGCATTTTTTATTCGTTCTGGAATTAAGTAAGTCTCCTTTGGGGAGTAGAAACGCTCAACTAGAAAGGAGAATTGTCATCTCGAAAGCTACCTTTAGCCTGTCAGTTTGGTTTATTTACCTATGAAGGATGCAATTAAGTTTAGAATTTCATTATTCAATGGAGAAATAATGGAATTGTCTTTTACCCTCCTTCTTTTAGTCTTACTTTCCTTGTCATTTATTCTCGTATTTCTTTCTTTCTCTCTCTCTCTCTCTCTCTCTCTCTCTCTTTCTAAGATTTTTAGGTTTACATATTCATTTTCTTTTTAATACAGTAAAGAAAATACGTAGGATATATCTCTATATATAATAAATATAAAAATATATAAATTCATAACATAAAGGATGATGAAATCAAAGTTTAAGCAAATATTTTCTCTTCTTTATGAGTAAAATGTCAAGTATATATAGAGGATAAGCTTCAAAGATTTAACATTCCTTTAATATAATCTTAACGAATGTTATGTAATCGTTCGTTTCATTTGATTTTTTTTCCTTTTTTTTTTGTTGTTTCGTCTTGTAGTCTAAAACTTAGGAACAAGACGAGAAATCTCACGAAATCGCTATCAACTTGTATTAAAGACGATCGAATAGAATAGTTGAAAGAACGTTTAGTTTAGTCATTTGCACAAGTTTGCTGTTCTATATCTATATTTATATATGATTGTTACGTAATGGAATTGATGTATACAAATTCCTAAACGGTGTATTTTGCTTTATATTTTGTTCATGGAAATGTTGAATTCTATTAGATATAGTTGGTAATAATTTCATATGAATTGTTATTGTTCTAATGATCATTGTAATTAGAATAGAAATATAGCAAATCTCATTATTTATCAAAATCAGTAAAATAGGTAGACAAAAGAAACGTGTTCATTAATTTTTTATGTTATTATAAGCATCTGTGGTTTAAAGTTTCCTAAATATTTAAAATAGAGCATAGTAGAAATTATATGAACCATGTATTTTGGTAAATGCCAAATGTCAAGAGGTACTTTTCATTCGCCAAAAATCCCGAAACCATAATAATACATAATCCTGCTAAAAGCCTGCAAAATTGCAGACTTTTCTCCGTGCAATATACAATATATATATATATATATATATATATACAGTATATATTAGTAAAACGTTCAGCATATAGTCCTAGATTGCGTGAGAGCATTGATATATACATCTACATATATATATATATATATATACTGTATATGTGTGCATTTATTCATACGCCTATACAATGTATTGCAGTATATACTTTTCATACATATGGTTTCCGTACAATACAAAATGGAAATATAATGTAAAAGGTTAATTGAATAGTTTTATTTAATTCTTTATCCTTTTGAAAAACTTTTATAGGTTATATAAAAATTAAAACTTAATAGAAAGAATAGAAATTTATTTATTTATTAACGTTTCAAGTTCAAGTGTTTTTATTTGTTTGTATTGTTTTTTCTTTGTATCATTTATACTGTAGTTTCTCACTAGACGACGGTGGGAACGCTAAAAGAATAACGTCAAACAGAGCTTCTAAAACTCCATCTGATTGAGTAATATTACGTAATATAACCGGAAATAAGAGACTTTTCAATCAGATTGCAATCGTGTACGCAATTGGCGGTCTTTTATGATTTTTCGTGAGGTTTTTGCATACTTTTAGATACTTTAAGCACGCGTAATCGAGTAGTAGTACGCATGCGCACTAGATTGCAACAATGTATACATTAGTAAATGTTCAACGCTAATCAACAATCGACCGCAACTACTGCAATACGTATTTGCGTCAGAATAATAACGAACAGAGCGAAAAGGGAGAGAGTTTTTTATGAATTATTAAACGTTTTCTTCCAGTATTTCGCGCACATTATGCTAATTAGGATTACGCAAGTCTTAGAGTACAATACACTTTACTCTAAGCTTTCTTTAAATACTTTAAATACTCTAAAATCGGATTTTAGGCAGACTCTCTTTCGCATAGGAGTTAAACTTGTACTCCTCATGAATATGCAAATTGGGGAAAACATATAGAAAATCTACAAAGAAATTCTATGTCGGCGTCGCATTAATTTACACGTAATACGTACCTTGGGAACGGGATAGTGAGTTTAATAAAAAAGCGGTCTGTGGGGAAAGCGCTTACTAATTTACATTCCGGATCACCTATGTATTAAACCGAAAAAGCGTTACGTCAGAGCATTGCTATTAGACGCTATCAATTTAAAATTAGCCTAAGAGCGTCGGCGTCTTCTTCTGGCCTCCAGAGAGATACCGGCGTCACTAGGTATCCATCACCAGACGCTAGACACCCTGGATAACTTGACGTAATCGCTATATGTGTGGCTTGATGAACGAGAAAACGACCCGAAGGCGTTTCTTTTGGAATAAACAGTAAAACTCGACGCCCTCTCCATAATCGAAACGTTTAACCGACAAATTTTCACCTAATGGAACTCCGATTGACAATACTTTACGTTCGTCAATGTGACGTCTATTATCGATCTACAAACACCTCATTAGCCGTCATTAGACGCTTTTGTATTAGTCGATAGGGACTTTGAAATTTTGCAGTGTTCTTTGAAAAAATCAGAAATTTTTTGCGATAAATCTCAGATATATAAAACATTTTGAGAGAGAAGGGGAGAGAGAGAGAGAGAGAGAAATAGAATAAAAAGAGAGAAAGATTTGAGAAGAGAATAGATGCAATGGCATAAATGTAAATGTGTAATAAATGATAGTATAAAGTAATAGTACTGCATATATCTTTCAAATTTCTATACCTTTGTATATACTTAATATCCTATACAGTTATACAGAATATATATATATATATATGAATCTAAGTAGAAGTATCAACCATTTTTTATGCTCCCGAACCCTAACCATTCACCTAACGATGAAAATAATAATAAAAATTTTTTATACGCTCTATAAATTATACAGTAAGGGTAAATAAGCGATTTTTTTACTCTTTATTTCGATCTTCCTATATGCATATATATTATATACACAGTGTATGTAATATATATAATGTATATTTGTATATGTATGTATAATCCATCTGTACCCTTTATACTCTCTTGCGCTCTCTCTCTGTCTCTCTCCTCTCTCATACACGCATATATGTATATATATATATTTATATTGTATGCTCTCTATATATATACACTTCTCACCTTTTAATTATATTCATAAGAGCTTTATTTAATATTTCAACTGAAATATTCATCATTCCTCGCGTGTCTCTTTATCTGTTTGATAATGTTTAATTCTTCGAAACGTATATCTACACTAATATACTTTATATATTTATACGCCTTTTAAGTCTAGTTTTTTTTCCTCCTGTTATACTTCCCATCTTCTTTCTTTCTCTTTATAACAATTCCTATCTCTTTTCGAAGCTATAAAACATCACTACTTCCTCTGTTCTCTTCCAGTTTTTTTTATTGCAATATTTGGGATATTTCACTTGGAACACACACTCTCTCTCTCTCTCTCTCTCTCTTTCTTTTACTCTAGAACATATGCCAAAAGACGGATAATAAAGCGAAAATATGTACTGTTGATAATAATATTCTATAATTCTGTTTACCAAGTCGCGATAATGACAGCTTAATTAATTTAAAGAAGGCGAAAAAATTAAATTAAAGATGACCCATGGGATAAAAAACTCTCATTTCGTAAAGGTGAAAAAAACAAAGCGGGAGAAAGTGAGAGAGAGAGAGGTAGGGAGGGAGAAAGGGAGAGAGAGAGAGAGACGTTATCCACGTAGTAAATTACGAGCGAATAATATGAGATGCTTCTACTTATCTATAGCCATTTATTTATGGCGTGATTGATGGTGTACATGTGTACTTGTAAAAATCTCTTAGTTATTCATACCAACAAGAACTATCAGTTTCTTTCTTAAGGTTTCAATAAAGGCGACTTCTATTGATAGCTGTCTCAAGGAAATAGATTTTTTCAAAATTACAGTGCAGTATAGATCGAATTTCTATGCTCATTTCATGCTATTCAGGCATGATGACAGGATAGGAAAATACAATTTTTACACCCAATGTCTTCAGGATATGTAATTTTTAGTAAAGTAACGCCTATATCCAATAGCTCATTCCTAACTATTTTATTAATAGTTTCTTCGTTAAACGCCTAACACAAAAAGTAAAAAATAATCACTTTAATCAACCCAAATGAAGGCCTATTTCTTTTATCTCGTCCAGCGTACTAGTTTTTATCTTTTGGGAGTACTAATTAACAACAATTAGAGAGGGCACGGTTTTTATAGATTAACAGATGTCAAGGTAATCATACTTGAAAAGGAAGAAAAAAAAAGGAGGGAAAATATGTTGAAAAATTCAAATCTATTGAATAAAAAATAGGAACAAGAACTAGAACAATGGGAGAAGGTGAAGGAGAGCATGTAAGAAAGAAATGAGAAATTTAGTACCGATGCATATATATATATATATATATATATATATATATATACGGTATACGTTTGAGTGCAGAAAGGGAAGAGAGGGAAATGGATTTTTGACTTTTTACTGAAGCCTCCTTAAGCCTACTAATATTCTCATACATTATAGTTCTTTCATCCTTAATCAATTGCAATAATTTAATAAGAATAATTTTTATTGTTTTCCCTTTTTTTGCCTTGGATTGCTTCTATCGACTGCAAAATCGCGAATCGTTCATAATTGCAGTAATCTTGAGCTAATTGCTAATACTAGACCGTTGGATGAAAAACGCTCTAAATTACGAGGGAAAGAATGACGCTAGCAGACGCCGCTATCTATTCGTCACACGCCGTCTGACAGGTCTGGTGGGGAATGGCAGCAAAAAGAACATTATCAATCGAATCTGCCTACATCCTCCGCCTGATCACGTGATACTTTCCAGTAAAAGGGACGCTTGTGGGCGTTGAGTCAGAAAAAGTGGGTTAAACGGTTAATAATTGAACGGCTTCCATTCTAAGAGACGCCCGAAACGTCTTTTTAAGACGGTCAGTAATTTGTTTGGAGTCCGAAGAGAAATCTTTTTTTTTTGTTTATTTATCCTATCTGGAGCAGCCATTTTGAAAATCGTGCTTACTCGCTTACTCGGAGTCATTGGGCAGAGATTCTCAAAACAATCTCGGGTTAAACGTCTTCGGATAACTGCCTGGCAGGTGGGAATGGTTAGAAGGTCGAATAGATAAACGATGTATGAGAATTTATAGCCATTTAAGCAGTTTTTTATTATTTTATTTCGATACGTTTCTTTTGTTTTTTCTTTTAATTGATGAACATTAAGAAGCGAGAGAGAGAGAGAGTGTGAGCGTAAAAGTTAAGGTGAGAGCACTGGGAGATGGAATAGGGTTTAGAGGTACGAATAAACAGATGTTACTAAATTTTCCGCGTAATAGTAATAATAATAATACAATTAATTTAAAAGGAATTAGTAAGATGGATTTGCAAGAAGAAAGAAAGAAAGAAGAAAAAAAGAGCAAGTCCGTTCTCTATATATTTGGTATTTTAGTATGCTTTAGTGCATTTATTGTTCTATTATAGAGAGAATTATTATCATTAGTAATATACATTTTAACTTTTACCTTTATTCTTCGTCATTAAACCTAGCAACTTTTTTTCTTTGGCCTATAATTTTGACGTAATCCCCTCCTTGTTCTCTCTCTCTACTCAATAATCATTTTTTTTTCTTTTCCAGTAGAATTTAATATAAATAAATATATAATATTTAAAAGATGAATATCGATGAGTCATGTCTCTATTTTCATATTTTTTAATGAAAAAACACATTTGATAAGAATAATTAATGAGATTAGAGTTACGAACGCAATAACAAAAAAAAGTCCTTATTTTCCTTCAACGTATGAAAAATGTTTTTAATTGAAAATTGTAATTTTTGTTTTTTTAAAAAAAAAATAATATTGATATTAATTTTTAATTAAATTATTGATTATGAATAAAAGAGAGAAATCATTTATATAGGTATTTTATTAAAAATAAACGCTATATCTATTTCTATATATTTAATAAAGAAGAAAGAGAGTTATCGTGTTAAATTGTTTTCGGAATTCTATTCTTTAAATATCTATTTATTAGAATATTAATAAAGCAAAGAAATGTATCGCTTCTTGTAATTTATCGAGTTTGTTTATCAGGCTAACTAGAAACGTGACGAATTCATTCATATTTTATATGAATAGAAGAAAAATTCATGAGATATCTATTATATAATGTGTATGATATAGTTTTGAAATGTCATTAGCTTGCCTTTCTCTCTCTCTCTTTCTCTCTCTCTCTCCCCTCTTCCCTCACCGTTAACCCCCGTCCGCGTGCCCCTCCCCTTCCCTATCTCTCTCTTTCTCTCTATCAGTGTCGGCTGAAATGTATATACAATGCTCGCTATCGAATTATTCAATTGTTTTTTCGTTATCTTTATAGAACAAATGCTACGATTTTTAATAGCGTTTCCCTTTTGACTAGGCTATGTGATGATTGGGAATTACCCGCATCTGTCTAAATGCTAAGGAAGCATGACCATAGCTCATGTTGTGTCAATTCACAATTTAAAACTGCCTTTTATTTCCTTATATAAAGTCGTTAAGGCGTAGTCGGATGACATTTAAGAGTCATAAAAAATAGCAACTAAATTTTTATCAACAGAGTTTGATCTCTGAAATTTAATTTGATCCTTCTATTCAAAATCTATTCTTTCTCTCAGCTTTATTTCTCCTTTTTCATCTTTCTCTCTTCTTCTTTCTATATTTATCAATTCTCGTTTTAATTTACGTTTAGGCGTTAAGAAAATCACATTCACCTTTAGCTAATATTTTTGAACGGATATCGACGCCTTTAAACCGGGCCGTCTATTAATATTTTTGTATAAACAGATAATATTTTTCTAAGAAATTCGAACTGCAAAAATAAAATAAACCCAAACCTATAAGGAGGGTTAAAATAACTATTACGTTATTTAATTATAGGCTGACAAAAAATAAATGATATACAAGGTGTTTTGTGTTTATTGTATGCGTATTGTTGAAAAACTGATCAGAAGGGTAAGTGGATAATGTGTAGCGTCTTTTTTTTTTCTCTCTCTCTCTCTCTCTCGCTCTCTTTAGCGTTCATTCATGTTTGACTTTAAGCGTTTAACGTTCGATCGCCTACGAGTGTCGTATAAGCGTTGCGGGAAAAATCGAAAGAAAAGCCGTTTTAAAAGAAAGGGAAAACTCAAAAATTGCCTTCGGCACTCCCGTTTTACCTCCTTCCATAAATTTTTAACCAAAATAGCCTACGCATTCAAGGAGGCTCTTATTCTCGGCTTAACGCCGCCCCACAATCGAATAAGGCCGAATTATGAAAAGGAAGCCATTTTTCAAAACGTGACATTTATACAGACGGGTAAAAATACCCGTTATGAAACTGTTATTCTACTCCGCCTTATCATTGAAAGATATCTTTCCTGCATTTTTTCACATACCTTTGAGCGACGAGGATAAAGCGATGGGCGCATAGATGAGCAAGATCACAAAATATATCTTCATGTCTCTTTTATCCTTAACTTCCTGTTTCTCTCAATTTCTTAATTGGTAAGGGAGAAAAAAGAACAAAACGATAAAAAAGTACTTAGATGATAAGAAGAATAAAATGAATAAAATGAATAAAAAGAATAAAAAGAATTAAAAGAATTAAAAGAAAGAAAGAAAGAAATCTGGAGAAGAAAAGAAGCTATTTGTACTAGATTTTTCTAGATTAGGTACGACAGATAGGATAGAAAGTTGTATGGTTTTTATTTTTAATAAATGCTAGCTTAAGAACCTATCATTTTGAATACTTACTCGTAAACTGCCAGATGTTGCTTTTTAACTATCCAGGGGTATTAGTCAATTTATGGTTAAGCATAAGCCTTGTAAATAATCCGTATATTTTGTTGTAGTAGTTTTAAGTATCAGTTTGCTTTCTTTCTCTCGTCTTTTCTTCCTTCCTTCCTTCGTTCTTCCTCAATTATTATTTATATATTCAAAAATCTTATTCAATTTTGAAGTATTCAAACTTTTTTCTCTCTCTGTTTAGCAGGTAAAAAAAAAAGTTTCCGTTCGGATAAAATTTCAACCGTCCTGACCGGCTAGAGTGTGCTTTATGGCGAATGGACACGGATAGATAGCTGCTAGGGGGCGCTGCTTAGCCGACTCTTTTTCGATTGATTCGAACCGATTGGCAGAGGATTATAGCTACACTTTCTAGAGGAATTTTTGTTCTAAAAGAGAATTATTATTATTATATATATTTATATAAATATAATAGAAATAGAAGGAAATCTATAAATTCATAGATAACTAAGGGAGAAGAAAGATTAACTACGCGTATTTATTTGCATTCAAGAATATTTGCGGTTTTCTTTCTCTCTTTCGCCGATATAAGGATTGACCAGCATATTTCAATTTTGCATAATTAGACATTTACCTTTCTACTAATTTTAAATAAATAATACTAGAAAAATAAGGGTAAACCATAGAAATAATCTATTCATAGCTTATATATACTTAATACTATACATATTCCCTATGCGGTATTTATTAACACTACAATTTATATCTAGTTCTTTTATTACGATTTCTAATTAAAAGTAAGAGAAAAAGAAATTACATAAAGAATTAAATAAATCTGGAAATGATTAATAATTAAGGCAAAAAAGTTTTTTTCCATTAGCATCCAACCCCTTAGCACGTGTCACAATATTTGTTCAAAAGAGAAAGAATTCTTTTCAAAGGTCACGTGATCATTGACAAATATTCTAATGACCGCTGCCCTGCTGAGTTGATGCTCCCAATTTTAAGCCAACCGTTGACCCCCCCACTGTCCAAGTTAATTCACATGTTTATGTATAATTGTATAGGTAATAATATCTACTATTTAGGCCTAGAGCGAATCAATAATTACATATATATTTATTTAGTTGGTAAATGTCTATGCAAGCAGAATGAAAAAGGTAAAAAAATAGATCGAATAGTATTGTTCATAATAATAATTTCAGGATATTTCTATAGAAAAGTAGTTAATTTATGATATTGTAAGTCTTGGATATTTTATCTCGGTGTAACTATCGGTACTACTAAGCCTATTTACCTATCCGCTATATTAGATATATAGAGAGTATACAATTTGTATCCAATAACTTTTAGAAGAGCTACGAGGTCTACTTTTTAAATTCCGTTCAAATCAAAGTATAGGTGACCTTTCATTCGAGTTTGATTATACAGTACTATATTTATTTATAAATATATATTTTATATATACACTATATAAAGTATTCAATCAGTTTGATCCCAAAGATAAGATTAATCGCTTCGCAACAATTAAAAATACAAAGATAATTAATAAGTAGGAAAAAAAAACAGGTTATTTTTCAAATTAATCTTTATTAGAGTACGAAAACTAAACAGGTTTTTTCTTGTTATTTTCAGTATAGTTAAATAGCTTCTAACCAAGTAAATATATTGTATAGATCAAGTAAAAAGCTAATAATTTCATTACATACGCAATAATTACTCTATAATAACTAATCCGTAAACATTTTCATCAATTACGTAATCCAACAATTTCAATAATTAAGCAGAGAGTAACAAACGAATTTTAGTACATTTTTCATAAAATCATATTCATTATTCATTTGTAAAAGAAAAAACAAATTCTCCTCTCATTTGTTCCTACATTTCGTTTGATAAATAAAAAATGTATCCCTTGTTTTTTTATTAGAACCAAACATTCTAAAAAGAAATGTACCATTCAGGATTATAGAACGTTAATTGTTCTTTTGAGTTCAGTTACCTCTTTTATTCAAGTAATATTAGTTTAATAAATACTAACAGTCTAAGCCTTATAAAAACAATAAGCTGTTTTCATTAAACTTTTCCACCTTTTTCTACTGGTTCTTGTCTTTTATTCATTGTAATCAGTAATAATTGATAAACATCCAATAATTCAAACGACTGGTATTCGTTCAATTCGTCTAACGTTCCGTCGAGTGTAAAAAGAGAGTATTGCTATGAGAATTGGAAGTTCGTAGTAAAGTTAGCTGAGAAAAACGGTATATATATATAATAGGGAATGATTGTTCGATTAAGGAATGTATGCATTCGACTCGATGAAAAGATGAATAAAAGTTAATATGAACAAAAAAGCGGCATTTTCTTCTTTATCTTTTTTGTTTTAAGCTCCTTTTTCATAAATTAATTGACCGGAAAGAAGAGTTGAAACATGTGGTTATTTCTCTTTTAGGCTATCTTTCAAATGGAATTTTTATGAATATTCATTCATATTTTTACGGTGTAAGACAAAAAGCTCGTAATAATTTATATAATAGGATAAAGACGACGTGTATATATTATAGATAAAAGGGTTGTGTTCATGTATACGATATATATATATACATATATACAGTATATAGGTGCGTGCCTGGTATGCACAGTAGTACGTACATACAAATATATATATATATATATTTATGGGAACAAATTGTCCTCTAGTTTTTCAGCAACAATTCAGAATTGTCCAATCGATAGTGTTTTCACCCTCTGTTTATCCAAATAGCCTCACAATAGGATAGAGTATAGATAAACATGGATCACTGATACTAAAAATGGCACGAATTCATATGAATATTTGAATATTTTTACCCCAAACCTAGATAGACCCAATGTTTAGTTAATTCTTGTATATTGGAAAAAAAAAATGTCCTCTCTTCAACTCAAATAAAAATTTACTCATCTAGTTTACATTGTAATTAGTTATTTAGTTTGTTTTTCCGTTCAAATTACACGACTTGAACAGAATTCATTTCTCTTCTTAGAATATTATTACAATTTTAAATACGCTTTTATTGAATAATGTTCAAGTTACAAATGTTTCTTTTCTATAATAAATTATGTGGGATGATTTCTTTCATGTTTTGTCTTTCTCCTTCTTCCTCGCCGTCTTACTCGCTATACTTGAATGATACAGACAGAAGCGACATATTGTACATGTTTACTAGCGCACCTACAGCTAAAATTGTTTATTATACAATTCTATACAGTCTAATGAAATAATATCACTTTACAAAAATTACTTTCTTTCTTCTCTTTCGTTGTATTCATTAATAGAAATAAATAAATTGATAAGATTAATATGAATATTCATAAGCCTGTTATTTAGTATATCTAGCATAACTGAAGCTCATATTCTTGACGTGTTAATGTAAATATTTTTTGTAATTAGGCCTTCAGCACCTAATCAATATGGATGTGTATGTTTACCTTCGCTATTCAGAGGCATCTGTAATAGACAATTCGTAAATGAAAAATGGATCAATTGTGCGTGCTAAGTTGATCCTAGGTAATTTCGACATGTAAAGGAGAAAGCTTGGCAAGTAGCAAATCAAACAACTTGAATGGCAATATGGAAAGAGAAGATGATAGGGATATCGTCAGTAGGTAAACAAAGGAGAGAATGAAGGAGTAGATAGATAGGAAGGGAGGGAGGGACAGAAGGAGAGAGGGGCGGGAGACTACGACAAAGTGAGTGAATAAATAAGTGGGCAAGAGAAGAAGGAATGAAAGAGAGGATTGAATGAGGAAGGAAGTAAGCATGCAGAGAAAGAGAAAACAATTGCGCAATACATTTAATTATACCGGTATTTTCTAGAAAATTTATTATTCGTTTGTCATTATATAACTAAATAGGTAAAGTAAACATGTTTAGGATTTTATTGTTTTGAATAGGATTAATCAAAATAAATAGTAATTATTTTCTCTGTAAATGTACATGCTGTTGGTACATCTACTGCTTTATTAGTCAATAGAATTAATCAAATTAATTCCCTCATTTGCATATTTTTTATTCAGAGAGCGAATAATAATAATAGAGGAAGATAAAAGGGAATAAAGTTGCTTATTTTTTTCACTTGTTTACCCAAACCATCGGATAAAAGATAATTAAGATGGAAAATTTATCGTAATCCGATAGGGCATACAAAATACACATCTGTGCCGTATAGCCCCTCTTTTTTTTCTTTCCATTTCATGAATATTAATTCTTTGCCGCCCTCAATTAGACGCACATTTTCGTGCCGCCATACATTTTGCTCCATTGAAATCGCTCCCCTCTAATCCTCTTATACCCTTAATCCTTAGGGGTGTTCGATTGACTGGGTGAAAAGTTCGTCGAATGCTTATTTTACCGATTCTAAATAAAATAGAAGCGGCTGCGAGAAAGGTAAAGAAAAAAAATCGAAAGAAAGACGGCTTTATAAATTATTTGGTGCAGGTGTTAGTTTTACTCTTGTAAAGTTTGTATGTAAATGAAGCAGTTTTCGGATCAGTACTTGATAAGATTTATGGTTTGTATTTGATAATGTCGTTTTCCATAAATTACTTAGCAAATAACTCAACTTTCTATATATATGTGCATAATGTATTTATCGTTAAACAGTCTTTATTTCTCTGTCTGTGAGTCTCTCTCTCTCTCTCTCTCTCTCTCTCGCTCTATCTATCTATCTATCCCTCTAGCTATCTATCTTTCTTTAATTCTTTCTCTACCTCTGCCTACCCCTCTCTCTTTCACCGCGTTTACCACCTTCCTTTTCTTTATTGGTTGAAATTAGATACTTGGAAAGATAGATAAACGCAAGGACAGGATTATCAGATGGAATTTTACGTGTTTCTTTGAAGAAATAGAGGAGTAATTCCAGTAAATTCTGCTGGTATAAATTGCTCCAAGATGCAGTTTTGGATAGAATGAAAGAAAATACGAAGAATTTACAGTTAAATAAACTAAAATTGGTTACAATTAAGCCTGATTTTCATTAGGAAATTGTAATTACATATGAAACATAGTTGATTTAGAATTACTGATTTTATGACGTACAAGAGAACTAGATAGAGAATAAAGACTAATTTTTCATTGAACTATACTTGCTTTCTTTGGACTCTTCTAGCCAACCCCTTTCTCCTTTAGTCCTCTCCCCATTCTCTTTTAAATATTCCATAATTGCCCCCTAATTTTCAAGTAATGTTCATTGGGAAACCATCCAATAGAAAATGAACTACTAGTCCTTTTTCTTGAAAAATAATAGTTATTTAACATGGGAATAAGAATAAAAAAAAAACAACTAAAGCTTAATTATATCATGAACGAATTTCAATTAGAAATAGGAGAAGCTTATTCTGCAACATCGTGACAACAGATAAACTTTTCATTAAATCCTTTCTTTCTGCTCTATTTAACAGATTGAACAATATAAAAAATTGACATTTTCGTTACTTGAATATTCAATTAAAAAAAGGAAAAGAAATACTTTTTCCCCAACAAAAACAATGTATCGTTACTTGATAAAGAAAATTGATTAATTGTTATTTTTTCGGTCAGTTTATATCTTCAAGTTGTTATACTTCCGTCGGTTTTCGTAGCTTCTATTTGTCTATGTTTTTCTTTTATTCCTCTTCATCGGTTTCTGTATTCCCCGTCGGCACCCTTCATTTCTGTTTATCCCTCTCCCTGTTACGTATCACTCACTAGCTGTATATTTCCAGTTGGCGTTGAATCTTTTACGATTTCTCCTTATCCTTCTTTGAGTTCTCTATATCGCGATTTTTCATTCTTTTATTACTTCCTTTTGTGTTGGTTAAGTAGTGAATTCAACGATTAATTTTACTTAAGCGATCATTAATGGGTTAGCCTTTTTTTTAAATATTAATAATCGCCTTTTAAAAGTTGAATGAGATCTTAATCACTATGCAAATAACGCGAATCGGAATACGGTTGAAAAATCTATGATTAGCTTGAATGTAAATGATTATAGAAGAATATCCTAATAGAGAGACTTTATTTTGTCAAAATTTTGGCAGTGATTCGCTAAAAATACTCTTCTCTTTGACATTTTAATCTCTTTAGCGTAGTAGATTGAGAAATTAAGGTAATTTCTTGGAAAGCGATCTGATTATTTTTAACTAGAAAGTATACAACCGTATTTTGATGTATAGAAAGCTAAACTTTATTCCAGCTTCTATTATCCTTTAAAAGAGTTGTCTTTAATTATCAAACCAACCAATACGTTCTCTTCAAACTTTCCTTCTACGATATCAATTTCGTGTTTAGCGTAAAGACGGCAGTATTTAGCTTTTATATACAATTTGCATATTTATTCTGTTAATCCCTTGCCGACTCGCCTACCAAGCAGGCGATAATGCAATAATTTAATGATAATCCGGAAACATCGTAGTTAAAGGATTAGCTTACGTTTACTAATCTCCCTTATTATCGGATTACAACTGTCTTTCGTAATTAACAAAGGAGAAAATTGATGAAGAGCATGAGTAGTTATGCAGAAAAGCAATAGACGTATCGGGTGTCAAACACCATCTTTAAGCAGTTGCGTAGGCGTCTATAAAGGATTAATTGCCTCGGGGAAAGGGAAAAAACTATTCAAACTTGATACTGTGATTAATGTAACATTTCTCCTAAATGAAACTCGGAAAATGTTACGATTTGAACGCGATTTCCTGAAGATAATTAATATTTAAGAGCCTCTCTCTATTTCGTTGAACTTCAATACTTGAGTTATATTCAAAAATAAGAAAATTAAAAGAAATACTACAGATTAAAATAACTTGAAGGAGATAAGAAGAGAGAGGTAGATAGACAGATAAAAGAGAGACAGAGAGACAGAGAGAGACAGAGAGAAAGAAAGGAAGAAAGAGAAGAAAAGAGTGAGATGGAGAGATAATAATGAAAAAATTGAAAGAAAACGACGACTGTATAGTTTAAAAAACCAAATTTTTCAATAGGAACAATAGATAAAAATATCTCTAATAATTTTCAGAAGGTGAAGAAGAAGAAGAAGAAGAAGAAAATCGTAGATTAGGTAATATTCCCACTAGTATATCTTAATTATCAACTAATAATAAAGAAAAAGCTAATAAGAGGTATTGAAATACTTGTGTAAACAAACAAAAAGTTTTTTATTTCAAAGTACAAATAGAAAAAAGCAAGGAGAGAGAGAGAGAGAGAGAAAGAGAGAAGGAAGAAATATAGCTGGAAATTAGCTATTTGCATTTCCATGTCATACTTCAATTAGAATTGGATAAAAGTTACGACTCTTCTCTCATCCTAAGCATACCATAGAAAATTCCTCTTTGGCATTACAAGCTAAATAGTTTTATTATATCTATAAATTCCCATTATATATATATACATATATATTACAGTTGTTGATAAAATTAAATGATTCAGATCAAAGGTGTAGGATTTTTTTTCAATTTTCTCTGCTCATTTGTTTGCGTTAAATACAGAGTTTGAGTGAGAAAAGATATTGAAAACAGAGAGAGAGAGAGAGAGGGGGGGGGGATAGACAGAGGAAAAAAACAAAAAGTACAGAGAATATATTATTTAATTAGCCTCTTTTTTTCGTTTGCGATTCATTGAGTAACACGTGTGCTCTCTTGAATACTTGAAAATACTCTTTATCTACTAATAATAAAATTAATTAAAGTAACATCATGATAAATTAATACACTATTTTCAAAGGCTATAGGGGCTAGGGGGAGGAAAGGGGGAGTATCTGATTTCAAATAACGCTGTTTTACAAATGAAAACATAGTTGATTATCCTTCGTAAAAGGGCGGGATCTTTGAGAAGGTGTAAAGGGGTCAATTGTAAACGTTTCCTTTGAAAAGGGAAAAATGGGTAGGAAGGGAATTATAGTGCCGGATCGTCACTTTCCCATAACAATTAAAAGCGACAAAGCGGGCATCAATCACAAATCAGTAAAAAATACGCGTCGCCCAGCAGGCGTCTGAACTAACAATGTTTATTCATTTTCGATATCGTCCTTAATGAGGCGTTTTCCTTTCCAAAAATAAAAAAATAAAAGGAAATAACAATAAGGCAAGTGATTTTAAAATCAGATTTGAATTACGACAAAACAATAGAAACAACTAAAAGAATTTTTCCTTTCTTCCTTAATTAGTTTTTGAATTCTTTACTCTTTAAAAAATGAAGAAAAAGGAAGAAAGAGCAACGAAAAGACAGGGAAAGAATGATAAAAAAGAGCAGCCTTGCATTAAGTGCATAATCAAACGCTGCCGACATCAATTTTTTTTCTATTAACCTTTACATTACAGGTGAGCGTGCTTTGTCGCACCTTGTCATTGTTGTTGATATATTTAACATTTCAGAGATGGCGCCTTTATACAATTTGTAATTCATCTTTGCCACAATACAAATTGAGAATAGTAGAGAAGGGCGAACGGTAGTTCCACCTACCGGTAACTTTATAGAGAGAAGAGAAGAAGTAGATAGTAAAGAGTAAAAAGTGTTACAATATAATCATTAAATAGATGTTTATTTTAAGAACAAATTTTTTTTTATCACAAATGGGCCCATACCAGCACCATATCACACTAACAACATCAAATATATCATCATCACAAAATAGACAATTTACAATTTTTTACAGTAAAATTCATATTTAGAAAAAAGAAAATAAAAAGAAAAAAAAGAGAAATAAAATGGAAAAACAGTTTCTTTTCTTTCCCCATTGATTTTTTATGATTTTTCGTCTTTTTTCATCCTTTTTTTCCCCCCTTCTTTTCCCTTTTTCAGATTTAAAATCAATATAAAAAAAAAACTTATCCAAAAAACGTTTCGTAACATTTTGTACACATTGCAGTTCGTTTTTAATAGATTTTACTAATATAGGTAAACATACATTACATACAAAAAAGACATATATACTCATACATACATATTTATAAGTTTATTAATTTGTCTGCATGTGCAAAATAATACCAAGTGTTTTTACTTTGTTTCTTTGTTTTAAAGTATTAAAAATATTCTTTAAGGTTGAGAAAAACCTTTTCGTACAGTTATATATTAGGTTAGATATCGTTTATTTATATATGTACATACTCTTCTTTTTGTCACAATTTTGGATTAAATTGTTTTATTTGTAAATAAAAAATAAACGCCTTTTTGTTTAGGATTAATTCCGCGGCATCTGCATTTCTCTGCAGGTCTGTATCAGCCACAGAAAACTGATAAAAGAGAAGTGTTTTATTTTGATTTTTTTGTTTGTTTTTAACTATATAACTATCTTTCTCTTTTACTCTCTCTCTCTCTTTCTCTCTCTCTCTCTCTCTCTCTCTCTCTCTCTTTCGCTCTCGCTCTCTCTCTCTCTCTTTCTCTGCATATATAAATATACAAAGAAAAACAATCACATTGAGGTAGGAAAATATACATGTCTCCTCTATATATACTGTAGATGTATATATATATATATATATAGATATATAATATATAACTATATATATATATATCTATACTAAGAAAAAGTCAGCCATTTTCTTCTTCTTCTTCGCTTAGTTATCTAACTTTAAGAAAAAATAAATATCATGAGCAAAAACATTGTTAATTTAAACTCTTATCTCCTTCCTTTCTTTATTAATTTTTAATATTTTTTTGTTTTTTTAAAAAAAAAATGGAATCTTTTTTTTCTCTTTTAAGGAAAAACTCTTTATTTAATTTTATTACGTTTTTGTTTCTTCTTTAGATAATTAATTAAAATGATAAAACTGTTGTTGATAATATCGTTGCTGTTGACGGTGATATTTTCTTTAGTAGAATGTATCCATTGATTTACATCGCTCGTGTAATGCTTGTAATGTTCCTGGACCAGTCTTTCTTTCTCTTCTTCTCCTTGGCGATAGTGGTGGCGATTTTGCTCCCGTTACGCTCTTCGTTCTATTCACTGCCAGTCTATTTCCTTGCAATTGTTGAGCACTCATTGTTCTTGAGGCTATCTGCTTTGATAAGGGAATTTCAAATGTATTTTTCAATACTTTATCCTGACTAAGATGTGACGGTAAAGACATGATAGAATCAGTAGTCCTTACAGAATCTAAACCGGCAATAACGGCTGGTGAGAAATTTCCGTGTGAAATTTCAATAGCTGAATGGCACGATTCGGCGTTTCGCTTTTCATCTATAGACTTTTCAGGTTCCGGAATTGGTACTAGCGGTTTCTCTTTTAATTCTTTCTTTTCCTCCGTCTCCTCCTTTTCACTCTCCCTCGGTTCTTCGGGAATTGTTGATTTATGAGCAAGACCACCTTCGTCGTCACTAGAATCGCTAAGATCTGCAGTTGCGTCGGGACGTCGCTTCCGTAACGCCTCTTTATAATTTTCTTGCGATTCTTTCAAATGAGTCATCCAAATAGCCTGTATTATTTTAGAATTAAACGCATATTGAGTTGCAAACTTTAAGAGAGAATTTATCCTTTTTTGTGACTTTTATCTGTTCTGTGAAACGACTCAGTGCGAAAAAAAAAAAAATTAATAAACCATCATTTTTTCATTGCTTTTTATGCTATTTGCGTGTGTGAAAAGTTTGTTTTTCCTCTTATAAACATCCTCACACGAATTGCATATACGACTAACAAGTATGTAGTGTTAAGGGCAATTACCTTGGCGGCTTCGTTTGGGGCTTGGAGGGTATAGACGCCGATTATTTGTTGGAATCTTGATATATGTACAATGACGAAGGCGTTCTTGAGCACGTTGGCTGTGGAGAGACAGCCGAAAAATAAGTTCGGTTGTCTTACACAATCGTCTTCAGCCGCCACCTGCGAGGCCAAATCGAGGTCGTCGTAAGACGAGACTGTGTGAACTCCACACTCCCAGAATTCCCAAAGACCTGTGAAAAGGAATTGGGAAGTCTAGTCTTTCTGTTTTTCTAAACATTTGGCTCAATTTTTCTCTCTTACTAAAACAGAATTTGGTTTGGTTTTGTTTGTTTTTTTTAAAGTTTTTTTTCCATTAATTGGTGAAAGATAGACAATGACAACACGAGGCTAGGGCAAGAACTTTGGCCTAATTTAAGCAGGTAGCAGGGTCAGACACAATAATAATTTTCAATGCTCCATAAAGTTATTTTTGACTGTTTCTAAAGCATTGAACGGTGTTCTTACTCGATTTAGGTGATCCACTTACCTGGGGTATCCGGTGGGTGAACATCGTGTAACGTAAACCGATCCAAAGCTATCGGTTGTTTATGAACAACAAATATTGCGCCATCTGTATGAGGTTTAGCGCATAACAGGTGGCTTTCAGGTAGGCTGTTTTTCTGTTGTTTTTGTTGTTATTTAGTTGATTTTGTAAGAAAAAAACAATTTATTCAAAAAAGATACAAAAGAATTAGAAGAAGGAAAAGGAGAGAGAGAGAGAAGAGGAAGAAGAGAAAAAAGAAAACAAAGACTTACATAATGTTTTCTCGGCGCCTTCTTTACTCTAGTTAAAAGCAGAATATCGTCGAAGAGGAACATGTACATTTCAACAGTCTTGGAAATTTCTAGTAAAATGGAAGAAAATAGGGAAAAGTTAAAAAATAAAACAGAGTAAAATAATATAAATAACGAGTCATTTTAAGAGTAAAAGTACTTTTCTTTGTCTTAATAAGAGGCTGATCTGTAGCACGGTTTCTAGACTTATTCATCACAAGAGAAATTAACCTACCTAATAGCGTTAATGGTCCTTCGTGCAGTAATTGCCTTTTAGGGCTGGCTAGTAACCTTTCGCACGGCTGTCTATGCAAAGTTGCCTTAAGGAACTGTAAAATTAAAATTTTTTTTATCAATTCTCGGCAAAGGCCTCACACTTTATAGAGCAAATCACACTCTCTCTTTTATTCCTTACCTCGGGGATGAAAGCTCTGGGATCCAATTCCGAAACAGGTTGCCAAATTATTTGCTGCTGTATTTCTTGAACGCGTTCGAAATTCTTTAACCATTTCATTTTGGCCTCGAGATTTTCTATTAAAAAGAATTATAATACAAACGTTTTTCCTTATAATATTCATATATAGTTAAGTTTGTTATAGCAAACAAAACTATAAGTTAAGATATATATCCGCTAGGTGGTAGTACGGATATAGTTTTGCTATTGATATACAAAATAACGGTAATTAAAGATATTCTAAAGGATATTTCGGGACTGGTAGAAGCGTTTAATTACGAAAAAGTTGTTTTTCTTATTAATGAAAGAATGGACTGTTAGATTTTTACTCTTTTTGGTTAATTTTTTTTCCTTCGTCCTTTCAAAGTAATCTATAAAAGCATGCAAGAAGAACAAAGAGAGTCAGGTAGTATTTAACCTTGGCCCTTTCTGGAAGGGATCACTTTTTATTTTTCCTCTTCGTTTAAACATAAATAAGAGCTTTGTTCAATAAGGTTACTTTATAGTTCTTAACTAGTCGTTAGAGTTTTACGGCCAAAGAATAGGCATAATAAAGATATGCTATATACAGTTTATATATATATATATATCTATTTTATACGTCTAGCTTAAATAGAAGATGGATAAGGAAGGTTTTAGTGAAACTGAGTAGAAGAAGGGTAGATGATTAGTTTGGGGAAAAAGCCTAACAAATCGGTTTTGTTAGTATGAACTAATTAGTATAGCATTGCTGCTGACAAGATAGTCGTGAATTATGCAATGTCGAACTGATTAGATTAGTATTTCCATTAGAAGGGAAGACGTAGATAAACTAAGTGTTAACGAATTGTCTTTGTCGTAAGCTTATTGGTTGTTGTTGTTGTTGTTTTTTCAAAACAAATAACGTATATATAAGGAGAAATATTGAAGAAACGTAAAATGAAATCTGCAGAGATTAATAAAATAGACTTAATTATGAGAGTCATTTTCAAGTTCTCTTGAATATTGAATGGCAAAAAGAGGATAAAAAAGAATTTAATTAAAGAAAATAAAAGAAAAGGTTGAGTGAGCGAATAAGTAAACGACTGACTGACTGAGTGAGTGAGTAAGTTAGCGAGCGAGCCAGCAAGAGAGAAGGAGAAATAAAGGATTAAAACCCTTCTGTTTTTAATTGACTAAAATATGGTGAACTGAGTAGGAAAAAAAGAGAGGAACAAAGTGACTGAAACATTTAATAATAAATGTTATATTGCATTGATGAAATCCTATTCGTTTTCTTCATATTTTCAGAGAGAAAAGGATTTGATTTGAAATTGAGTAGGCACTTTCTAATTAAATCTTAAATGAGGTTAATATTCATATAGATAATTAAAAATTAGAAAACTGTCATATCTAGAACAAATGGAACATTTTAGAAACAAAAGTTTCTTTAATATTTGAATAATTAATTCATATTTCAGTTTTACAATAATAATTGCAAATACTCACTTAAAGACGTCTCCAATTTTTCTAAACTGGTAGTTAACTCATTTTTTTCAGCAGGATCGTTTGTATACCGTCGAATATTTGCTAATAATAAAGGAACTTTGGTGCAGTGTTGCATTGGAGATATTAATAAATCAGTCAATTGTAGTCTGTGGCAACGAATATCACTTTCACACCATTTTTCAAATTCGCAAAAGTCTTCTCTCTTCCTAAGTTGTTCCAGATAAGTAACTGATTTTCCATAGTTTAAACAATAATTGTGATATACTTCACCATCTCTTGATAGTTGAGAATACTATAGAGGGAAGAGAAAGAAACAAGAAAAAAAAGAAAATTAGTAGAAATAATAAAAGAGCATATGACAGCCTAATGTCAAGAATGAAAAAAAAACCAATAGGTTATTATACTAGCAAACATCCTAAGTATATAATTTTTGCAGGAGACTTTGAAATTATACGCATATGTTATAACAAATAACTTGAAATGATGTGTATACAGTATATATTAATATGAAAATTCTATATAAAGGATAAGATGTTAGCAGAATTTCACCAGGCTTTGTTATATCTATACGCCTCGTGTGTGTGTTTTTTTTTCATTGTAACGACAATAGAAATAGTGTTAATATTTCTTTTTTTATGTATTTTTGAATTATAGGCCTATTGACGTTTTTCCTCTTTTTTTTATAATTCTACTATTCCTTCACCCATATTCTCTATACATATTTGATAAGATAAAATAATGGAAGGAAAATCCATAGTTTTTTCTGTATTTATATAGAATAGCCGTTTAAAATTACGTGGACTAAAGTCAATTTGATGGTGTAAAGCTCAAATTTCGATTGGAATCGTTAAATCGATAATTGATTCCTTCTATAATTAAATTAAAGAGATTTTTATATACCTAATACTTATAAAGGAAACCAATTTCGTTTGTATATATTAATATATAACTCTGTGTATTTATACGCCAGAGTGGCAATGTATGTTTAATAGTACTTGTGTAGGTGAATATACATATATATGTATACACACACACACACACACACCTATATATATATATATATAAATATACAGTATACATAAAGTGTAGGCAATAGGTTAAGGATATGAGTGTTTATATAATGAAGAAAAGTTAAGAGAGGAGAGTAGAAAGCAAATTAGAAAACAACTAACCCTTTTTAAAACTTGTAAAACAACAACAGTCCTGCCGAATTCTGACGGACTAGCGTCTTTGAGCAAGAAAGATATAAAATCTCTACAAAAAGTATAGCTGACGTAGCAAAGTTCATCCAGATTATTAAATAAATCAGCTGGTTCTGCGAACATTAAATGACCTTCTACCTGCACCTTTTTTAACGGTTCCATAAAACACTGTTTTCGATAAAAAGAAGTAGGTTAAAAAGAAGAATGAAATATTATATTATTGACTTAAAGTTTGATAAAACAGAAAAAGGTCGAATAATATAAAACTAACGTGCTTTAAAACCATGATATGATCAACAAGAAAAACACATTCACTTCTAAAAAATTCCCAAACGGCTTCTCTTCGTTTTCTTTCCGTGTCCGTTATTTCATCCGTTTGTTCTTCTTTTACGGCTGTTTTATCTTTACTCGCGAATAAGTCTGACCAGTGCAGATCCTTAAAAGCATAAAAGATTACTCGTAAATTTGTAGACTTATATTGTTAATGTTCTTTTTGAAATGAGAGAGCAATTATAATCCTTATTCGTTTAACAGAAATGTATAGTAGGTGAAACCCTTAACCGTATATTCATTTACTTGAAGCTGCTTTTCTCCTTATACTTTATGTTAAATAAGATTGTTTACTTAGGCTTACATCGCTTTGAAAATGAAAATAAATAATACAACTTGTCTTAGCTGCTCCTATCCTCTCTATACAATTCAGTTATTGTAGTAATACTAGTCTGTTTCTGTTTTTTCATCTAATTTATCAACTTATTCATTCTCTCATCCTTCTTTCCGCTTTCTATTGTCTTTATTTATTTATTTATGCATTTCACCTTTGTTTGCGTCTCTGCCCGCCTTATCAACCTACCTTGTACGTTACCAGCGCATTATCCTTAAAGTGAGACGCTTTTATAGAATGTAATACATCTTCCAATGCTGATAGAGTCTCTCGAGTCTTTGACTTTTTGTCAATGAGTTTCAGGAGAGAGAATGTTCCTTTTAATTTTTTCGTGTCTGTACGAAAGGAAGAAGAGAAACGTCATAAGAACACGTCAATTTATTAAAATTTATTTTATATAAATATTAATAAAGGAAAGTTAAATAGACTGGTTAAATGAAGATATTACAAAAGATAATGTAATGTAGAATTTCGATTATGGGGAAAATAAATAAGTTAAAAGGAGAAAAGAGAAGCGAATTGTGGTTTATTGCAGATTAATATGGATTTTTTCCCTTTTATTGCGTAAGGAACGTATTTTTGCTGCTCTGTACATATTCATACGCCGTCATTTTTACACTCTCTACTGGAGTTTAAGTGAAAACGATTGTCGTATTCATTAGGAATATCTTTAAAATGATTAAATCATAAATGTCATTATTAATAATTATAGAAAACAAGTGAGGCAACTAAGGAGCTTTAAACGAAGGAAATCTATTTCTATGTCATATTAAATGATATTGAAGGAAAGGGGAAACAAGGTAAATCCAATTACAGATGATTTATCTCTATTTTCATAGTATCTAAAATAGAATAGAGATATTTCTGAATACCACAAATTCTTGAAATAAGTAAAATATTCTTTCTTCTTTCAATCTAATAGAAATAATATGAAAATTTCCAATAATTTTTGTTTTCCTTCCATTTTATCGTTGAATGATGGTTATTTTATCTCGTTCAATGTCCTAATAAATACTCTTACTCATAGTTAATTCATGGGCTTCATCTTTCTTTTTACGCTACGCTAAACTTATAAATACAACTATAAATATATACTAATTTATGTATCTTTTCCTTCAATTCTCTCCCTTTTTTCCGTTTTTTCTTGTAACAATAACTAATGCATAGATTGCTTGTTGGTGTTGTATATACATACATTATATACTATATATATATATATATATATATATATATATATACATATATATATATATACTGAATATTTATTCATTAATATACTATTTGTTGTACAGTAGTTGCATGAATTATAAATAAATGTGTCATATGTACCTTTACATTCTTTCGTCTATAATATATATATATATATATATACATATACAACTACTATTAGTTTTAAAGGTTTGCCACAAATGCACGAGATTTACATTGTGTATCAGTATACACCACTTATACGTCCATTTCGGCTTGAGTACTTTCCTCATATTTTTTTTTCAACCTTCAGAACTACAACCTACAAAATACTCTAGAAAGAGAAGGTATTGGAGAGAAAAGATCCTTGCGTGACGGCAATAGCAACTACAGCTCAATGTCGACCTAAATTAGCTTGTATATAGAGTTATATAGAGCCCGGAGCGTTGAGTCTGAGAAATGATAAGTTTTATAGGCCTGTATACTTTACCTTGATCGGCTAATAAGTTTGATGTAGACGCGGCGTGTAAAGCTGTCGTT